AACCAACTTTTAGTTTTGTCAATTTTTTCAATTGTTTCTTTTGTTTCAATTTCATTGATTTCAGCTCTGATTTTAATTATTTCTTGCCTCTGCATTTGCTGCTGATTTGTTCTTCTTTTTCTAGGGCTTTGAGATGTAGTGTGAGGTCATTTATTTGTTGGCTTTTTCTTCTTTTAAGGAATGAACTCCATGCAATGAGTTTTCCTCTTACTACTGCTTTCATAGTGTCCCAGAGATTTCAGTATGTTGTGTCTGTGTTTTCATTTACCTCTAAGAATTTTTTAATTTCCTCCTTGATGTCTTCTGTAACGCTTTGTTCAATCAGTAGCATATTGTTCATTCTCCATGTGATGTAGGAATTTTTCTTCCTTTTTATCATTGATTTCCAATTTCATTCCATTATGATCAGATAAAATGCATGGCAGTATCTCTACTCCTTGGTATTTGCTAAGAGTTGCCCTGTTGCATAATATATGGTCTATTTTTAAGAAAGATCCATGTGCTGCTGAGAAAAAAGTGTATCTGCTTGATGTTGGGTGGTATATTCTATATATGTCAATTAAGTCTAAGTTATTAATTGTGTTATTGAGTTCTATAGTTTCTTTATTCAACTTTTGTTTGGAAGATCTGTCCAGTGGTGAGAGAGGGGTGTTAAAATCACTCATGATTATTGTGTTGTGGTCTATTTGACTCTTGAACTTGAGAAGAGTTTGTTTGATGAACATAGCTGCACCATTGTTTGGGGCATATATATTAATGATTGTTATGTCTTGGTGGTGTATGGTTCCCTTGAGCAGTATGTAGTGTCCTTTATCCCTTTTGATTAACTTTGGATTGAAGTCTATTTTATTTGATATGAGTATGGACACCCCTGCTTGCTTCCAAGGTCCATGTGAGTGGACCTTTCAACTTTTACCTTTCACCTTCAGTCCCTGTATGTCTTTTCCTATCAGATGAGTCTCCTATAGGAAGCATATTGTTGGATCATTTTTTTTTCATCTGTCTACTAGCCTATGTCTTTTGATTGGTGAGTTTAAGCCATTAACATTTAGGGTCACTATTGAGATATGGTTTGTATTTCCAGCCATATTTGTTTATTTTTGTTATTTCAATCGATTTATTTTTCCTCTTTGATTAGTTTTTCCCACTGTTGATTTTCATTGTTATTTTTCATTTCCTCTTCATGTAATGTTTTGCCAAGGATGTTTTGAAGCGCCAGTTTTCTAGATGCAAATTCTTTTTAACTTTTGTTTATCATGAAAGGTTTTTATTTCATCTTCAAACCTGAAGCTTAATTTTGCTGGATACAAGATTCTTGGTTGGAACACATTATCTTTCAGCATTTGAAATATGTTGTTCCAGGATCTTCTAGCTTTCAGATCTTTGTTGAAAGATCAGCCGTTAACCTCATAGGTTTACCCCTAAATGTAATCTGCTTCCTTTCTCTTGTGGCTTTTAAAATTCTCTCCTTGTTCTGTATGTTGGACATTTTCATTATAATGTGTCTTGGTGTGGGTCTCTGGTGGTTTTGTACATTCGGCATCCTGTAGGCTTCTAGAATTTGGATTTCTGTTTCATTCTTCATGTCTAGAAAGTTTTCTAAAATTATTTCATTGAACAGATTGCTCATTCCTTTGGTTTGGACCTCTATACCTTCCTCTATCCCAATAACTCTTAAATTTGGTCGTTTTATGCTATCCCATATTTCTTGGATGTTCTGCTCATGATTTCTTATCAGTCTCTTTGTGCTGTCTGCACTCTTTTCGAGATGATATACTTTGTCTTTGTTGACTGATGTTCTGTCTTCTAAGTGTTCTACTCTTCTGGTGATACTCTCATTTGAGATTTTAATTTGGTTTATTATTTCCTTCATTTCCAGGATTTCTGTTTGGTTTTTTTGTATAACCTCTATCTCCCTGTAGAGTTGATCTTTTGCTTCTTGGACTTGTTTATGTAATTCATTGTCAAAGTGATCTTTCATTGTCTGCATTTGCTGTCTAATGTCTTCCTTGAGACTCCAGATCATCTGAACCATGTATATCCTGAAATCTTTATCTGACATTCTTTCTTCTATAGATGTTACCTCCTCTAATGTTGAATTGCCCTGCATTGTTTGTGGTCCTTTCTTTCCTTGTCTTTTCATGTTGCTCACGTTTCTTTCCAGCTCTGTATGACTTTTGTGTTATTGTTTTTCCCCTATAGATTTGTATTGCTCTCATATAGTTCCGAGATCTCTCCTTTGTGATGGGAGACAATGTAAACAGTTCCCAATATCAACTATACATCATCTATGAGCTAGTTTCTGTTATTAATACATTTATAATTAGTCTCTATGTTTAGAGATGTTGGATTCAATTATAATTTAAAATTTATTCATTAGTTTCATAAAATGCATAGTTTCTGGTGACGTATAGAGAACTGAGGGTCAGGCATAGGACATTATGTTAAGGGGGAAAGATGAGAGGGTATGGGGTTAATATATGTTAGCTACTTTGGAGGAGAACTCTAATGAAGGAAGTTATTAGCAGGAAAATAGACAGGAGGTATTTTACAGTAGTTAAGTATATGGGAGGACACTAAAAGCATAGAAACAAACACCTATTTGCATTTAGTAAATTATACGTAATAGAAATAGTAACACTTGGGAGGTTGAGAAAGGAAGAGAATGAGGAAGAAAAGTAAAAAAAGAAGAAAAAAAGGGGGAGGAAAGAGATAGAGAGAAAGGAATGTAAAAAAGAGGAAAATAGAGAAGAAAAAGATAAAAAGAAAAAAGGAAAGAAGGGGGAAAATGCACTGTTAGAATTCTGTTTTCTTCTCTTCCAGTAGGTGGCGTTGTGCACTCCAGGTAGGGTCTCTGCCCTTAGGGTGGTGGAAGCAATCTGTGTGAAGCAGCTCTCTCTCACCTGCTGGGTGCCTCTCCAATCCTGGTCTCTTTGGGTAGCTTCCAATCTCTATCCCCCTCCCCTCTCCTGCCCACCAGGCCCCAATTGATGGGTCTCTTGTCCACAGCCCTGGGTTCACTCGGGGTGGGTGGCCCCTGGCTGCCCCGTGCTTCTGATCAACTGAGCGCTATCTCTGTGTTGGGTAGTCACCAAGTCATCACAGCTGTGGAGAGGGGGAGTTGGAAACCGGCAACCTGTTCTGTCATATTCCCACGGAGAGCTGGTGAGAAAGGTTTTGAGTTATCACAGCTGCGTAGAGGGGGGGGCTGCAAATCACACACCTGTTCAGATGCCCATCGTGCTGTCAGCTACACCCGCCAAAAGTTGATGAGGTAGATTTTCCAAGATGGCAAGCACCCGTTTCCACGGCAGGGTGTCCAGAGAGGTGGAGGGAACTGGGCTGTTCCTACCCTACGTCCAGAATTCGGTCCTTGGTCTGGTGCTCTGCAGTGTTGTAGGTCACAGTCTGGCCCACACCAGCCCTGAAGGATCAGTAACCCTGTGTCTCTGCGCTGCCAGAAATCCTCGGTGCTCAAAGTCCGCCCGTCTTTCGGGGGGGTTCCATCGTCACGCTGCTGGCCAGCATCCGTGGCAAAGAGCAACTCTGGTTTCCCCACGTCCTGGGCTGGGCTTGCAACAAACTGCTGTTTAAAATCCTGACACATGCTCCATGAAGCTTAAATTCATGAATGGGAGCCCCTGTGAGGGAAAACGTCCTACCACTCACTGGGAGTCACTCCAGTATGAGTGTTGGGTAGTCACCAAGTCATCACAGCTGTGGAGAGGGGGAGTTGGAAACTTCACCATCTTGGAACCCAAACATTTTTTCTTCATTCTTCTTTAAGACTGAGTAGTATTCCATTATGTTTATATACCACAATTTCTTTATCTACTTATCTGTGGAAGGGCATCTAGGTTGGTTCCATAGTTCAGCTATTGTGAATTGAACTATGAACATTGATATGAATGCATCACTGTAATATGCTAACTTTTAAGTCCACTCATAGTGGATTAAAGTTTTAAATGTAAGACCTGAAACTGTCAAACTCAAAGTAGAAAACAGGGAAAAAGCTTCAAGGCATGGGCCTTGGCCTTTATTTGTTGGACACAATAACAAAAGCATAGGTAACGAGTGGGATGGCATCAACAAACAGACAAAAGAGCTTTTTGTGGCAAAGGAAACACTTCAGAGTGAGAAGGCAACCTAGATAACAGGAAAAAAACATTTGCAAACTATATATCTTACAAGAACCTAGACCTAATCTTTAACCCAAATTCAATTACATTTCCAAGCAATATTGCAGTTTTTAAGATTCACCCTTAAAACAGAAAAAGGAGAGAAAAACTTTCTTGAAATAAGAGAAATTACTCTCATGAATGTCCTCAGTGAAATTTCATCTCCAGAGCTGTAGGAAGGGGAAATGACCCACTAGAGAAAACTCCATTAACCTCTATGTAGTGGTGGCATCTGATTAGGGTTGTGAGTGAAAATTCAAACCAGCTGGGCAAGACCTTCAGTGGCACCACTCTTTGTAAACAATTTAACAACTTAGGTGAGAATCAGGAGCTAAAATTTTCAAAAAATGTTTTTCTTTAATCATCCATTGGCCTGATTAAAATGCTTAGGTGTCCTGATTATCAATAAAAAAAAAAAAAAAAAACTCTCCCTGAATATGAAGAGCATTACCTTTAACTACATCCAATTTTTAGACAGAACTGTCTTCCTTCGAGACATCATAGTAGTTAAGAGTATGGTCTCACTTTCCTTGAAGCAAATGTCTATTCAAGTTTCATTTTGCTACTTCATAACTGTTTGACTGTCATCAAGTAGCTTTACTCTCTTTCAGTTTCCTCAAATGTAAAATGGGAGTAAAGACAGTTTATACTTCACAGAAGTCTTATGGAAATTAAATTAGTTAATGCATTGTTTGGTCAAAGAACTATAAATTTTTAAAACTAGATGATTTTAGGAAATGTGTAATTTTAGTAGTAAAAATATGTGTATGCAAGCTAATGTTGAAAATTCACTATGACAATGACTTTTTTTTTAATTTGTAGAGATTAAATGCCCTGGCTACAGTAGTTCGAGGCAGTCTACCTAAATTGCACAGAAATATCATAACTGCATTGATCACTATTGATGTGCATGCAAGAGATATAGTCACTGAGCTTGTTAACACGAAGGTAAATGTTTCATTTAAAAGTAAGATCACATACTTCTTCCTGAAATTATTGTGTCTAATATATATTTCATCCATAATCACTTATGTAGGTAGACAAAGTTGAATCCTTTGACTGGCAGAGACAACTGCGCTATTATTGGGATGTAGACATAGACAATTGTGTGGCTAGAATGGCACTATCTCAGTACACTTATGGCTATGAATATTTGGGAGCATGCCCAAGATTGGTTATTACTCCTCTCACGGTGAGTGACTGATCACTTAGGTTAATATTGATACAAGTGCTTTTTTGTCAAAACAATGAGAAGTTTCATCTAACAATTTTAAAGGAATTTGCTGTGATACATCTTTGTAAAGCAGATATTTATATACTTTAATTATGTACATGGACCATTGAGTATACTTCAATTGTATAAAACCCTACATGGGAACCAGTGGCCCTCCTATAGAAAGCAAATGACATAAATTTGTAGCTAAAGTCAATTCCCTTCAATGATGACAATTTATTAATTTCTTCAGGATCGCTGCTATCTTTGCCTCATGGGGGCTTTGCAGCTTGACCTAGGAGGTGCACCAGCTGGTCCTGCTGGCACTGGAAAAACAGAGACCACCAAAGACCTAGCAAAAGCTCTTGCCATCCAGTGTGTGGTCTTTAACTGTTCTGATGGTTTGGACTACAAGGTACATTTCCCTTATCTGAATTCTAACGTTAAGTGTTTTGTGTGGCTTTCAATATTTGCAACACAACATAACAAAACAAGGAAACAATGAGGTTATGTCAAATAACGGAAATGAAGCAGGGCAAAGAATGGTTAAAAGTGGAAAAAGAGAACAAGGAAGAAGAATCAATCTACATTCAGACTATTGCAGTATGTTATTTTGCTTGTAATATTTTAAGAAAATCTAGCCTTACATAGATATGTATTCTTTAAAGAGACAAATATTTTAATAATGCTTTAGGTAAATTGTCAATATTATTTGAAATTATATCAAAACTTGATGAAGAATGGTTTCTTAATGGTAATTTACAGTGTAAAAACTGAAACCATATCAGTGATGCTTTTCTACTCTGTACCCTGATGAGAGAAGAAGATTGGAAAAGGCAAATAACACCTTAGTGTTATTATAAGAACACCTGGATTTTGCAGACTGCTGAAAAAAACTTTTTGACTTACAGGAATACTTGTTTTCACTTCTTCTGATAGTTGCTTTTAAAACATAAATTTATTTCTGTATTTGCAATACATTAGTGGTGAACATGATCTGCCAGTTCATTAAATAAGACTTTGTTCAGTTCAACCTGCCAACTTTCTGTTCCACTTTCACATTTCTTTTCACTTCCAAGGCTGATGAAATTTACATACTATTTTAAAACTATAGTTATGTTGTCTTTGTTTTGTCTAGGGGTTGAATATAAAAATGTAAACCCTTAGCACAGCACAATCAAGAATATAGTTCATCACGGAATTTAACAGAATATTAAACCCATAGAAAAGAGCCAACACACCATCATGAAACCTCGGCCATTCAAAGAAAGCATTCCAAGTATCAGGGCTAATAGATTTTTTTTTCATTTCTATTCTACTCTCTCTGCTTCTTTTTAGAACAGTGTCTTTCTAACTTTAGTATGCGTATGAATCCTCGGGCTTAACATCTCCTTCTCCCTGCCAACCAGAGTAACTGCTACATCATTACCACTGACAGCTTCAGGCAGGCTGTCCTTCAGCCTGATAGACAAGTATTATTAGGGTATGCATTATAGAATTGTTTCTGCTTTCCACACCTAATTCAGAGTGGTGTGGATTGATTTGTGTCTTCCTAAAAGATGTTCAAGGCCTAACACCTTGCATGTGTGAACATTACCTGATTTGGGGATAGAAATCTTCACAGAGGTAATCTAGTTAAAATGGGATCCTACTGGAACTGGATGAACTAGTGTCCTTATGAGAAGAGGCAAATGTGACAGTGGTCACACAGAGAGAGGAACACCATGTGAAGGTACACAGAGGCATAGATTAGAGTGATGCAGTGCAAGCCAAGGAATGCCAAAGATTACCTGCAAGTACTAGAATCTAGAGTCAAGGAAATGTCTTCCCTTGAGCTTTTGTAGTGAATGTGGCTTTGCCAATACTTTGGGTTCAAGTATGTAGCTCCCAGAACTGTAAAAGAATAGATTTCTGTAGCTTTCACCACCCAGTTTATGCAAATTGTCACAGCAGTCCTAGAAAACTAATATACAGCCCAAAATTCTTATTATTAAATGTTCCCCAAAATTTCCTAATGTAAACCCAAATCCTGTAACTCCTCCCAAGGCTCCTTTACTAAGACAACCCACAGTTCCCTCATGGTTTCCAAGGTTCCCCATAATGTGTGATCTCACTTGTTGAAATAAATAATATGCCCAATTGTGTTTGACTATAGGTGTGTTTCTGGCTTTCACTTATAAGCACTGAGTCCTTTACATGGGAAGAGAAGAATTAGAAACTGCCTGACTTGCAAAAGTGTTTATTTCCCAGTCAGTCAGTGGAAATGTTCCTTTGTTCAAAATTAGTATTTGGAATTTTTCCTTTGCTTGACAGGCTGGAGGTTTTCACATTCTGGGGAAGTATACCAGAATTAAGATTTAGTATGAATGAGAGCATGGAAGCTACTAGGACCTATTGGGTCTTTGTACATGTGGCACTTGACTTAGTGAATACAGCCATAAGGAGGCTAAATTTCAAAACCTCGCTTTCCTCCTCTCCTAGGCACAAACTACACAAACAGGAGTGAAGGAAAGAGGATCTTTTGTGGAGGACATATAGAAATGAAGAACCAGTGTGACCACCGCCATGTTCTCAAGAGATAAATTATAGCAAAGAGTCTATATCAAAGATAAAGATCTAGAATTTTCTTTTTTACTTCCTTTAAAACTGTCCATTCACAAATATTCCTTGAGAAATCTTTATGTACTCCAGGAAGTAAGCATAATCTCACATACAAAGACCATTGCTCTGGAGTGGCCTCCCACTCTTATAGAAGAGTTCTTCAATTTTGTTGTCTAGAATACCAACTTGATCATTAGTACTATCCATTCTACCATTCCGTGCACCCATTTAATTCTCCATTTAATTTTTTATCATGGCTATAGTATTATTAATATTCAAGAACTATTTCTAATCTTTGACAAATTTGTTTTTAGAGCATATGATTTTATGCTTTAAAGTACAGTTTCCTCTCAGATCTCAAGGATGCCATGTGAGTTTTCAATATTCTGTTCTGTTCCATAAATTATCTCCATTTTTACCAGCATTGCTCATTCAGTTCATCCTTTTCATTCCTTCTTTTTCTTGATATTGATTTTTCTCAATTGTCTGTTGCTCTTCACTTTTCAGTTCAGAAGTATGGATTGGACTAGTGTGGGTAGCTTGTTTACTCAAAATGTCCTTCTCTGAATGAAGGAGCTATTGTGAGTATTGTAGAAGTATAGGATGTGTGGACAGCATGCTTCCCCAGTTTATGCAAATTGTCACAGCAGTCCTATGGAGAAGCCAAATATCAGGAAGCCCCTATTAAGTGTCAAATAAAATTTTTTCTTTCAAAGAGGTATATTTCAATGGAGTTTACCCTTGGATGGAGCTGTCTTTTCTTTATTATCTTTGAATTTCAATAACTAAAATAGAAATTTGGATTTATCTTTCTTTCCTGTCTCTTCTTCCTTTATCTCTCTAGCTAATGTCTTCTCCCAATAACTCCCCAAAGCAGATCTCTTTTCTAGAGAAGGCATTACTTGAGTTTTAGCTTGGTAAAAGAAAGTCAGTACTGAAATCTCAAGAGTCCTGTTACAGAGAGATAAAGGACCCAAAAACCTGATTTTTCCAAGTGCTGATCTTTGGCTGATTTCCAAAGATTGCCCTAAAGCCTGTTCCTGATTTCCTTACATGTACTGATGTTGGGTTTGGAGTTTCTTGTAGGTACCACTAAAGGGCAGTTCTCCTCCCTCTCTGCCTTGGGTCTGCAATTTTCCCTTCTCAATTAGGCAATCTGTTTCCATGTATTTTCCATCTTCCAATAATTTTTTCAAAACTCTCTTCATACTACCAGTTTCCCTTTCTGTTATGTTTCTGTCAAACCTAATACAAGTATAGACACAGAAATGTAGAGAGATACACACATATCCACCTGTCTTTATACAATTTATGAGAATTAGAATAAGGTGAGGTAATGCATGCTCAGTTGAACACCTAAGAGACAGAAAACCCATTAGCTCTGTTTTTAAAGAGATGGGTAGTGCAACATGTATCAATCCAAAATTCAAGTCTCCAAAGAAATTGTACACTTTAGATAGCAGCAGTACATACTCATTTTCTTCTGTCATGAGGATTCTGCTATAGAAAAAAGCAAGAACCTGTACTTTAACCTGTGCAGTTATGCCTTCTGCTCATTAGTAGTCATGTGCTGTCAACCACTAGAGTACCTTTGAAAAATAACAAAAGCTTACATTAATAAAATTTTCTAAGGGTTTTTTTAAGTCGTTAAATTTGTGTCTTCCATGTCTTAGAGTCTTGAGAACCTGTCAAGTATTTGTGGAGATGAGTAGGATTATTTTAAAAAAGAAAGAAAATTGGTCAGATTATTTTGTTATTTAAAAGTAAAAATTAGATTCAAAGCTTGGAGAGAGGCAAAAAGATTTCTTGTAGAAAACTTCTTACATCTGACAGTGCACTATTTACTTAAAACCATTGCTTATTTGTAGATAACACCTCTTCTGTTTAATACTTCAGCTCAAAATTTAGCTTTTGAAGGAATTAAACTGTGTAATTCAAAGGTGAATGACTTTATTTTGATTTCAGATGATGGGGCGCTTCTTTAGTGGTTTGGCCCAGTCAGGAGCCTGGTGCTGCTTCGATGAATTTAATCGAATAGACATAGAAGTTTTGTCAGTGATTGCACAGCAACTCATCACCATTAGGAATGCCAAAGCCGCAAAAGTAAGGATTGGTCAATTCTCTATCTTAAGTTAGTAGCTAACACACAGCTTGTTGTATTTGAGGAAAGAAAATTCTAGATTTAGCCTATCTAGTTCATATTTCTGGTTTAATTGATGAATGCTACAGCAACAGGACTTAATTGGATGAATTAATTCTGCATCCAAGCAACACAGAGAAAAATCAGTGCTGTGACGATACAGAAACTATGAGATTCAGTTCCAAAGTAGTCTCATGCTGTCAACCTCCTAGAGTGCCTTTGAAAAATAACAAAAGCTTACATAAATAAAATTTTCTAGGGTTTTTTTTTAAAGTCTTCAGATTTGTGTCTTCCATGTCTTAGAGTCTTTAAGAACCTGTGAAGCTCTTCCTCACATATTCACACCCTGTTCCTCTGCTCTCCACTTCCTTTTTCTCTCCTTTCACTTCCTTTTTTGCGGGGAGGGGCATACTGGGGATTGAATTCAGGGGCACTCAACCACTGAGCCACATCTCCAGCCCTATTTTGTATTTTTAATTTAGAGACAGGGTCTAGCTGAGTTGCTTAGCACTTTGCTTTTTGCCAAGGCTGGCTTTGAACTCAAGATCCTCCTGCCTCAACCTACCAAGCCGGTGGGATTACAGGCATGTACCACTAAGCCGGCTCCCTGCCCTTCTTGTTTCTGTTTCTCTAAGATTGCCTCTTATGAACTTCACTGTCTTCATTATAGCCCCCAGGCTTAGCTTACTGCTGGTGGAAAAAATGGGTAGAAATCCTAGGAAATCCAAGAGGACCTTGGCTCTCCAGAGCTCACTGGACTAGAAAATCTAAGGAGTATAGGGTCAAATGAATGTTTGTAGTAGTCTTGTTATTTAAAGTTTGTTTCAGCCACATATGAATATGTTTTGAAGAAGGGGATATTGTAATGGAAGCTGATTGCAATGAAAGATGAGACCAAGACTCCTAATGCTCTGTATTGACCTTCTGAGCTTTAGTCACTGAAAGGCAGCAGTGACGCACAGCCCATACAAACCAAAATCCCTCCAAGCCCCTCAAGGGTCCCCCACTATTCCCTAGGCCCCATGTCAATAAAGCCTCAGATGTCCTCAAGCTCTATAAGTAAGGTTTTACCTGACAGAGCAGGGGACATTTCAACTCCCCCTCTGGAACAGGAACCACTCATATCAAAAGGGGCCCTGATAAAGAGTTGTTAAGTTTTTGGTTATTGTCTCTATAAAGAAACAAATTATAGAACAAATAAGAAGAAAAGAAATGAGGAATTAGACTTTAATAACTGATAAAAAGTCATTGTGGTATACTTTACATTTATCTCATCTTTACACCAAACTTTTGTGTAGTATATGGTACTTTCTCAAAGTTATAGGTAAGAAGGATTAAAAGTTAAAAAATATTTAGTAGACATCATAATACTAAGATACACACCTAAATCTATGTGACCCTGAAGTCTGAACTCCTTCATCTACCCACCCTCTTCCTTGCGACATACTCTGGGGATGTCTATATTAAAGACAAGGACTTTCAGATATAACCAGTAAATCATTATCATCCTGCTGAATAACTGAAAACAAAGCTGGAGGAGGATGGGGAGCAAAGACCAGAGAAAATAGAAGCACTGCCAGTTCAAGAGCTACCATGTGAGGGTTAGGGAAAGTAGGAGGACTCTGAGATTAACCAACCTTATCCTCAATTTCTAGTGGCCAGATGAAATACTTGGAGTGGGGTGCATCCCCTGGTATAGAAGAAATAAAGCACAGAGATGGAGGATTTGAACAGCACATTTAGTCTTTTAACATCAGGAGAATTGGCCTCATCTAGCAACGACACATTGCCCTAGCTCTGCCCTGGTCTTTCCCTTATTCCTCGTGTTTGTTATAGCACCTTCATACAGTGGCCCAACTAGAAACCCTGAATTTGCCTCTGTCTGTTATCAACCCAGAATCTAAAATGTCACCAAATTATATTAATTATACCTACTAGGTGCCTCTCATCCCCACTTAACACCTCTCAAATTCTGGCTTTCATCTTCTTGCTAGTGACAGTTCTTTAATAGCCTCCCTGTCTGTAGTTTGTCCAACCTCTCCACTACCATCTTTGTTCCTATCACTCTGCTTACAAGAATCCTCTGTTTCCCCTCAACCAGGGGACTAAAACTAAATTCTGCAGTTTAGTGTGCAAGACTCTAAATGCCCAGGCCCCAACCTAGCTATACTTTTACTTTGTAGCAAAGTAGATTGCTGGTCATTCCTGGAACATGCAGGGCTCTTTCTTCCTCCTGCTCATTTTGCCAGGAAAGGCTGCTCCTGCTTATGTAGCTGAAATGTCCTTCTTAATTGTTCAGGTCTCAAGCAAACTGCCTCTCCCAAGGGAGGCTTTGCTCATACCTCCACTATAATATTTTTAGCACCATGTTGTCATACTGTCTAAGTCTGAGGGCACACAACAAACCTAGAGCTTCTCAAGAGTCAAGTTTCCTTCAGCTCTGTGCCTCCATGGCTAACTTAGAGCCTCATCCACAATAAGTGCTTAACAAGCCTCTGCTGTTGAATGAAAGTGAAAAGGCACCAAAGATTAAGAATAGATTAGAATTTCTTGGAAAAAACCAGAAAGTGGGAGTGGAGAACGTTTAGTGACAGTTGAACTGAAGAGTCTAAGCAAAAGATATTGAGGCCTAGAAGATTTCAGGATTGGACCAGGAAAGAAGAGAAATATTGGTCAAGGAAGGGGCAGGGAAGCAGAGAATATGAAACACTGAACCCAGAGATTGGAAGTAGGTAGAATAGAATCAGAAGAGAAATGCTCCCTGTTGTCCCAACAACAGGATTCAGTAGTCTTTGCTTGAATGTTTCATGCTCAGTTATTATGTGAGAATTTACAAATGCCCGGAGAAGGGTTAATTTATACTTTCTTTTTAAATAGCTCTCTAGATTCATGTTTGAGGGAAGAGAAATAAAGTTGGTTATGACTTGTGCAGCCTTCATCACAATGAATCCTGGATATGCTGGCAGAACCGAGTTGCCAGATAATTTGAAGGCTCTATTTAGACCAATGGCAATGATGGTTCCAAATTATGCTTTGATTGCAGAGGTAAGCTTTCTATTTTTTTTTATTATTAAGAAGCAACATTTTCAACGTGATTTCTTTTATTGTAGATATGATTGTTATCACATAGAATGTTTATTCTGCATGTTTGGTTTTGGTAGTTGTTTTTTGCTGCAATTATAGTAGGCCCTTAAAACTGGAATAAATCCATGAGTTTCATTAACCAGTTCATTTGTGGTTTTATCAGTTCATCTCTAGAAATTAAAATGTAAGTATTGGTTCTTGAAATACTATATTATTCTCACTTCCCTTTATGCATTTTTTGTTGTTGTTAGAATCAAGGAATGCTGAGTAGAAACTATATTAATCAATATGATGGAAGGATTGGTTTGTCAGTCTATAATAATTAGTAAGAAAACAGTAATCACTAATAAATTAATTGTGATATTGTTTGTTCTACCTTTATCTAACAAGACATATTTTATTTCTAATTTCAATGGTATTTATTCCTTAATACTAGCTAAGAATAAATGTTCTTAAGTATCATATTTATTTTTCAAGGAACTTAGATTAAGGTACGGTCTGTATGCAATAAAGGGCACAGGCTCACAAGGGTAAAACTCAGTGAATTCTTACACATGTATTCATCTGTCTGACCACCAAGACCAAAATATTGTCAGACTCCAGGAGGCCCCTTATGTTCAGCACTGCTTTTCATAACGAGACACCACCCTTTTAAGAATGGAATTTCTTAGAAAACACAGATTATTCCTATAGCTAATAAATTCCTTTGATAACAGATAATTTTAAATATTCTCTATAAAGTTAAGGTAATTGATTAACATCAGAATAGACCATGCCAAGTCCTGTCATTGCAAGAATTACAGCTCAAAAGCTCAGTATCCTCAATAACTTTTGTAGGCATGGTGGGGTGGGGAAAGCAGTTAAGATGGGTGTTGGCTTCACTATGATTCTCTCTGTGGACATGGATGATTATTTCTTGCTCATTGTCCCACCTGGTAGAAACTAAACTGGGTTTAAAGCCCAGTGCAATATATTTTTTTCATCTCATATTTTGTACTATTGCTGTTAGTCAGTATTGAGGGGGCAAATTTAAAAATCTCATCTTCTGAATGTTACTCCTCTTGTTACAGATTGAGAATAGTCAGAGTCTGTCATCAATAAACATTTTTATCACCTGTGTGCAAAACACTGCAAATCAGTAATTAAAAGCAGTAAACAAAACAGACCTTTTAAGACATCTATTCATCCTTCAAATTCTGCAGTGGTTAGGGCAGATTATGGGTAAAAGGAAGGGTCCATTTCTACCTCCACTGTCAAAGATGTCAGGCTTTATTCAACTAATTTAACCAAGGATGCAGAAATTTTTCAGGAGCAAGGTAGTCTTATACGGAGAAGCTACAAATCTTTATGTAGCTTCCCTTGATTCCCAGGGAACCTAAAGAGAGCAAGTGGCCATCACTGGTACTCTCCACCAAGGTGGCCTTTTTGTCAGATTAGAGAAGTCCAATTCTTGATTTTGTACTCAGGAGTTACGATACCATCCAACCTCTATTTGTACATTTCCAAAAATTGAACTCTGCTATTCCTTGAACTAAAAGTCACCAAGCCCACATCTTCATTTATACAGAGAAAGAAAATCAATTTCCTGCTATTACCTATAATATTCTACCTGACCCCTTATTGTGGCCCTGAAAATTCTTTTCCCTTCACTCTTCACATGTCTTTATTAAATAATATAAAAACATTAAAAGGCATGAAGTCAAGAAGTTGATTTTTAATATATTGGTATCATACTAATATATTGTCATCAATACAATATAAGAAGTATTGTGTTAAATTTTTCTGTTCTAGGTAATCCTATATTCTGAAGGATTTGAATCCAGTAAAACATTAGCAAGAAAAATGACCCAGATGTATAAGCTTTGCAGTGAACAGCTCTCTCAACAGGATCACTATGATTTTGGCATGAGAGCTGTGAAGTCTGTATTGGTCATGGCTGGGTAAGAAACCAAATTAATTGAGAGTGAAACTTCCAAACTCTGTAATCAAATGCATTAAGTGGGTCACTCACAGGAGGCTCTTACAGCAACACTTAATCCATAGCAAGTGACTAATAAATGTTACTGGCTGCTTTTGCAGCATTCTTCCTGTGACTCTCCCATGATATGTGACAGATCTTCACTGAGTGCCAATATGGTTGCTCTCCTGAATCCAACTAGGCTTCAGCTTGCCGCAGTCTGGCTGGGCACATAATCACGAGCCACCACACAGCTTGAAGATTCAAACAGCAACTCTTTATTCCCAAACTCACACCAGCCGTCTACAATCACGTTCTGGGGAAATCCACGTTCTCTGCCCAAATCCACCTCCACTGGGCATCTGTCTTCCAAAAAATACTGTCTGAATCCCGTGAGAACTCAAGGGGAACTCAGGCAGAGGATAAGCCCTATTCCCAGCAGGAATAATCTTAAACCTTAAACCTGGAACCTAAACCGGGAACGCCCTAAGCCGCCTTGGTCCTTGAGCAAGGTCACCTACATTCAATGTCACTGCAACATGGGGTACGCTGGCAAGGAAATTGTCATACCCACTTGGCTAATGGCTCCCAGCATCAGCTAAGTTTCATTTTCCCTAAAGTCATAGCATATATTGGGTTTTAGTGTACAAAAGCCTTTGATATCATCAGACAGGATGACAAGACTTAAAAAGCACATAGTTTGATATGCATATATGCTAAGGTGATTTATACGTGTTGCCTTAAAAATCCCCAAGAGTTGAAAGAAATTTTGTCATCCTATTTTCAGTTCAGGTTTATGCCATACATTCTATCTCTGTTTTTGCAGTGCAATCCAAGATTGGACTACATTCTAGTTTCTAGCAAGGCAAGAAAATGAGGAATTTTCAAACCCTAAGTTTTCTCTTTATAACTACCTGAAATGACAATATCTGGAATCCCCAACTTGCCTGGAGTCTTTTGGAGACTCTAGTCTTTCTAGTCCTTCCTCTCAGGAATGACTCACTGACTCAGGCTCAGAACGTCCAGGGCCCCTGTTGTGTGTGATCCTGTAGCTTTGCACAAATCTCTTTTGCCCTTTCTAGACTCCATTCTTTCTTTTATCCTCCTAGATTCAGTACATATCCTCTTTACAGGATTGCCAATAAGGGACTAGGGAACTAAGAGTTCAAATACACTGAACAAAAAGTTCAGTGGACAAAACTGACAAATATTCAGTCATCTATACAATGTGGTAGGGCAAAATTGGGCTGTGCCAGTGGTTCACAAGAGTGTGATGGAAGATAGAAGACTTTCTAGAGAATAGAGTAAGTGGGCTAGGTTTTGAAAGGTAAGTTCAAGTGGACAAAAGAGCAAAGCAGGGCATTCTGGGCATTCAGGAAAAAAAAGTAACAAGATGAGAGTCAAGGTGATGCATTCAAGGAACTATAAGCTAAAGTTGGATAAAAGTCTGGGTTAATGGGGAAGGGCATTTGAGAAGATGTTCTTCTCATTCTCCTCAAGACTATGTATCCAGTGCAGGACTTAACATGTGATGTAATAGAGATGGATACATTTTGGAAATAGAATGGGAATCATCCTGCAGCTTTCTACAAGCAGAAGCCCTGGCCCATAATTCCGGAAAATCACATTCCATCTCATGTTTTTGGAACATAGTCTGAAATATTTCCTTGAATTTAGGTCTTTAAAAAGAGAGAACCCAGACCTAAGCGAAGATGTGGTTTTGATAAGAGCTTTACGAGACTCCAACTTGCCAAAATTTCTAACAGATGATGCTATTCTGTTCAGGTAAGTTTCTAGACGTCACAGAATAAAGCATAGCTACCATATAGAGAAAAAGAATGGTCTTGTTTTCATTATTTCTAACAAATTAATAATTTCTCATCTTTTCTGAAGATATTTATAATACTAATTAAGAAATACTAGTTTACAATAAAGATACTCAACTTTTAGCATTATTCAAATCACTTTTTTTTCTCAAAATATTGATCACCAAGCTGTGTGCAAATTAGCTTTTGGTAAAATACTTTATCTAAGAGAAATTTCTAGCCTAAAAAAATCAGGCTTGGTCTTAACATAAATGTTATTGCTCCTATCCATTTTTTTATTATTTAATTTTATGTTTCTCCAACTTATATATGTGTATAGTCTTAAAAACAAAATAGTTTTGCAAATTAGTCTCATTGAAAACAATTACCTGCCTTTTGCCAACTACTACTTCTAAATACAATCATTTTTCAACAATTTTATTTTGTTATTCCCCTTCATACATCTCAGTACCATACTTATGTTGCTTCTTGATTTTTCAGTTTTAGATATTAAGTAATTAAAGTGAAATGAGGATATGCAATGCACTTTTTTCCTTTCTACTCATCCTCTGTATGGCTAGATTATACTATGACTTGAGCTAAATAGCTAGTATTTTACAGAATTTTTTTAACTATATACATATTACCCACTGCTGAACTATGTTTTCTTTTCTATTAATTTATTCAGTTTTTCTGTAGTTATTCATTGTCTTGGTTTATTAGTTTTTATATGTGTGTGTATAATTAGAAATACATACACATTTGCCTAGGGGATATTCCCAGAAACAAGTTCCCTGGGTTTGCACATTTTTAATTTTAATAGATTTTATCAAATTGTCCTCCAGAGACATTTTATAATAATGTGTCTTAGAGTGGATCTGTTTCATAATAATGTGTCATAATTATGTGTCTTGGAGTGGATCTGTTGTGGTTTTGTATATTTAGAGTCCTATATGCCTCCCATATTTGATTTTCCATTTCATTCTTAAAGTTTGGAAATTTTCTGATATTATGTCATTGAAAAGATTTTGCATTCCTTTAGTTTATATATCAGAGCCTTCATCTATCCCAGGGAATCTTAGATTTAGCCTTTTAATGTTATCCTAGATTTCTTGAATATTCTGTTCATAATATCAACATCTTTTCTCTATGACCTACTTCATTTTAAAGAATAGTTTGTCTTCAAGGCCTGAAAATGTATATTCAAAGTGGTCTAATTTATTGCTGATGGTTTCCTTTGAATTTTTAATTTGGTTTATTAATTCCTTCAAGATTTTCTGTTTGGGAAGATGGCGGCGAAGGGAGTGCATCAGCCCCGTGTACCGCGTCACTGTGCGGGAGAATGACGAGTTAGAACTGCTAAAAGCTATCTTGTTAGGAATTTCCAGCAAAATTGGGGTGCTCCAAAACCTAGAGGAAGGATTTCCATCGCACGAGGACCAGCTACGTGGGCTCAAACGCGAGAGATTTGTCCACACGGAGGGTCACGCTGCTTATTCAGCAAATCGCCCTGCGGCTAGAGTCTGCGGCGTGCGCTGGGAAACGACGAGATAGCAACGCAAAGAAACAGCGCTGCGGATTCTGCGGGCTTATGCCAGCTGTGCAATCACCGTGCTCGGGGCTGAATTCTGGGTTTGAGACGGGGGAAGGAAGCGGTCCAATTCGGTTATCCACACCGGTCAGACCACAGAGGAAGCCAGCGGCCACCATCTTGGAGAGCTGACATCACCATCCCTGTTTTCGACTGATCACAGCTCATTCAGCCATAGAACAGGTAATTTCAGGCTGCCATTCGCCTGCGTCTCACAGACAAATTACTCAGGCTCAGTGCTAAAGAACCTGCGGAAACTGCTTCTTGGAGCCTGCTCCTATCAGAACATACACCGAGCCCGGAGAGGCCGAATTCCGGCTCCCGGAACTGCTCTGGCCCAGGGCTAAAGAACCCGCGGAAACTGCTTCTCGGTCTGGATCCTGCTGAATACTGTGGAGGTAAATACCAACCGAGCCTTCATAGGCAGTGGCAACAGGATTGAGACGGGGCTTGTGAGGGCCGGTCAGGATTCACCCGTTGCTTTGGTCACCCGGCAAAGGGAACGAGGTGCTGCCATTCGCATGGGATACCAACATGGCAGAGATCTGATGTCATCAGAAAGCGGCGGAGGAGAAAACTTCATCGATACCAGCGGCGACAGAAACAGTTGGTCTCCTGGTAAAGAAAGTGAGTCACAAACACCTGAGTCTCTCTCACTTTGTCATCAAGCCAGAGGGGCAGAGCAGAGCCGCCGCCTGCGCCCGGAACAGGCCCAGCGGCCCGCCGGCGCGGTAGTCACGTCACCCCAATTGGAGTAGGGGCAGAGCAGAGCCAGCACCCGCGCCCGCAAGGTAGGCAGACCTGCAGCCGACCGGCGGGACAGGCCCAGTGGTCCGCGGGCGTGGTAGGAGGGGCAGAGCAAAGCTGCTGCCTGCGCCTGCAAGGTAGGCAGACCTGCGACCGACCGGCGGATCAGGCCCAGTGGCCTGCCAGCGTGGTACACACGTCACCCCAATTGGAGTAGGGGCAGAGCAGAGCCTTCGCCCGCGCCCGGAACAGGCCCAGCGGCCCGCCGGCACAGGAGTCACGTCACCCCAATTGGAGTAGGGGCAGAGCAGAGCCGCCACCCGCGCCCGGAACAGGCCCAGCGACCTGCCGGCGTGGTAGTCACGACACCCCAATTGGAGTAGGGGCAGAGCAGAGCCGCCACCCGCGCCCGCAAGGTAGGCAGACCTGCGACCAACCGGCGGAATAGGCCCAGCGGCCTGCCGGCGTGGTACACACGTCACCCCAATTGGAGTAGGGGTGGAGCAGAGCCACCACGCACGCCCGGAACAGGCCCAGCGACCTGCCGGCGTGGTAGTCACGACACCCTAATTGGAGTAGGGGCAGAGCAGAGCCGCCACCCACGCCCGCAAGGTAGGCAGACCTGTGACCGACCGGCGGAACAGGCCCAGAAGCCTGCCGGCATGGTAGACACGTCACCCCAATTGGAGTAGGGGCAGAGCAGAGCTGCCGCCTGCGCCCAGAACAGGCCCGGCGACCCGCCGGCGTGGTAGTCATGTCACGCCAATTGGAGTAGGGGCAGAGCAGAGCCGCCGCCCGCACCTGCAAGGTAGGCAGACCTATGACAGACCAGCAGAGCAGGCCCAGGGGTCCGCGGGCGTGATAGACACGTCACACCAATTGGAGGAGGGGCAGAACAGAGCCGCCGCCCGTGCCTGCAAAGTAGGCAGACTTGCGACCGACTGGCAGAACAGGCCCAGCGGCCCGTCAGCGTGGTAGACAGATCACCCCAATTGGAGGAGGAGCACAGCAGCCGCCCGCCCCTGCAAGGGAGACTTTGCAACTACACAAGAGCAATATAGATATATAGGGGGAAAATTTCAAAAACACAACAGTTTCACCAAGCAGAAAGAAACGCGAGCAGTATGAAAAGACAAGGAAAGAAAGGACCACAAGCAATGCAGGTCAACTCAACTTTAGAAGAGGTAATAGCTACAGCAGATGGAATGTCAGATAAAGAATTCAGGATATACATGCTTCAGATGATCTGGAGTCTCAAGGAAGACATCAGACAGGAAAATCAGACAATGAAAGATCACTTCAACAATGAATTACATAAACAAATCCAAGAAGCAAAAGATCAACTATACAGGGAGATATAGGTTATAAAAAACAAACAAACAGAAATCCTAGAAATGCAGGAAGCAATAAACCAACTTAAAAACTCAATGGAGAATACTACCAGCAGAGTAGAACACTTAGAAGATAGAACATCAGACAATGAAGATAAAGTATTTCAACTTGAAAAGAACATAGACAGCTCAGCAAGACTGTTAAGAAACCATGAGCAGAACATCCAAGAAATATGGGATAACATCAAGAGACCAAATTTAAGAGTCATTGGGATACAGGAAGGGACAGAGTTTCAAACCAAAGGAATGAGCAATCTATTCAATGAAATAATACGAGAAAACTTCCCAGACTTGAAGAATGAGACAGAATCCCAAATCCTAGAAGCCTACAGGACGCCGAATGTGCAAAATCATGAGATCCACACCTAGACACATTATAATGAAGATGCCCAACATACAGAATAAGGAGAGAATTTAAAAAGCTACAAGAGAAAGGAAGCAGATTACATTTAGGGGTAAACCAATCAGGATAACAGCTGATCTTTCAACACAGACTCTGAAAGCTAGAAGATCCTGGAATAACATATTTCAAACACTGAAAGAAAATGGGTTCCAACCAAGAATTGTGTATCCAGGGAAATTAAGCTTCAGGATGGAAGGTGAAACTAAAACCTTCCACTATAAACAAAAGTTAAAAGAATTTGCAGCTAGAAAACCATCTCTTCTAAACATCCTCAGCAAAACATTACAGGAAGAGGAAATGGAAAATAACAATGAAAACCAACAGTGGGAGGTAGGACAGTAAATGGGGGAAAATAATCAAGGAGGAAAACAAACCATGTTTAGTAACAGAAATAAACAAATATGGCTGGAAGAACAACCCATATCTCAATAATAACCCTAAATGTTAATGGCTTAAACTCACCAATTAAGAGACACAGGCTAATAGAATGGATCACAAAACAAGACCCAACAATATGCTGCCTAGAGGAGACACATTTGATAGGAAAAGTCATACATAGGCTGAAGGTGAAAGGTTGGGAAAAATCATATCACTCATATGGACTTCGGAAACAAGCAGGAGTGTCCATACTCATATCAAATAAAATAGATTTCAAGCCAAAGTTAATCAAAAGGGATAAAGAGGGACACTACATACTGCTCAAGGGAATCATACACCAACAAGACATAACAATCATAAATATATATGCCCCAAACAATGGTGCAGCTATGTTCATCAAACAAACTCTTCTCAAGTTCAAGTGTCTAATAGACCACCATACAATAATCATGGGAGACTTCAACACACCT